AGCAACAACATCAAGCCACTGACAAAGAACAAATTAAGATATACCAAGAAAGAAAAGCTTGTGTTTTCCAGTCTAGCCTGTTGGGGCACCATGCCCTTTCCCCAATGTCCACCCTCATCATTCCCTGGGGATCTTCATTAATTTTAATAGCAGGAAGGCAAAAACCAAAGTGAAACTGACCAGCAAGCCTCTGTACCCTTCCAGGGACTGTGGCGACACATCGTGTGAGCTGCATGCATGGAAGCCTTCTCTGAAGACAGGGATACACATTTGAGGGGAACTTGTTCTAAACAGTGCCAAGGCCTCTCTGCGGCAGATGGAGGCGTTGTGGCCGCCAGCCATCAGGAAGGCACAAAGTACAAGTCCCCACTGCTTCATTCTGAGCCTGAACGAAGAAATCTGTAAACGTTGATCCTTTTTTATTTTTTGTAAGTCCACAAAACTTTGGCAGACAAAGCAATAACTGACTGTTGAAGAAAGAAAAGAAATGCGTGTTCCTAATGCGCATTTTGAAGCGATGAGTTGTCGACTAATTCCATTGTCGACAGAAGCTTAATTTATTGCAAAATATGGACACATGCCTGGTATTTCCTGGCAAGACACTCATGTATGAAGAAACAGACCATGGCCAGGGTAAGACTTTGAGAAGGACTAGATTTCCAAGTCATATTTCCTGGTCACTCATCTTTAGGAAAGGCTGATAGGATCCACAAAGTGCTTATAAATGCATTTAAGATATTCAAAATGAAGCCTGATTTTGGAAGCATCTGATTCTATTTATATATATTCCTTTGCACAACATACCTTGACCTATCTGAAAAATACTTCCTACTGTGAGATCAAATCAAGTTTTCACTTGTTGCTAGTTTGCTAGCAATTGGGGAGCATTTTCAATTTTCTGTTACCTTCCTGAGGTTTCTGGTCTCTATTTACTCCACTGTCAAATTAATTGGAAATTGAGAGTTTAATAGATTAAACTACCATGAAACTTAGAATATACACAGAAAATTATTAAAATACTGGATTTTCTCATTTTTTTTTACTGTGAGGACATATTGTAGCCCTGGCTAATTCCTTTTAGCTTCGAATAAAAGTGACAAATGATCTTAAAGCAGAACTGCTGCAAATAAGGCTTGTGTTTCCTAATAATAATCTTACAGTTTAAAACAGCACTTTCACATCACTTGATGTAAAATTCTTGAAATGTTTTCAAGGCCAATAGATATACACATCATTAGTATATATATGTGTATATAGACATTTATAAAATAAACAAGGTTCTTATATCTTAGTGTTGAGGAAATGTGTGCAGATGCATTTAGGCAAAGGGATATGGCACCTGCAACCATCAGATGGAAAGAGAAAGAGCAAATGGATGTGTTACAATATTAACCGTCAATGAATGAGTCTGGTCAAGGTTTGGGACACACTGGAATTCTTTGTGTTATACACGCAATCTTTTGCAAGTCTGACGTGATAGCCCTGTCAAGGTAACCATGATCACATGTGGAGGACTCTATTTCCAGAATCTCCACCTATTTTCTCCATTTTTCACAAAGTAAACCATGAAATGAATGATTCTGCCACCTGTTTTTATTATTATTTTTTTCCAATCTTCTTATCACCACCGTCCTTTAAATTTATCTTCGTAATATCTGCCTTCGCTGCCCTTTCCACCCCCCTCGGCTCTGATTTGTGCTTTTCTTCCTCGTCATCGGTCGGTTTCTTCATGCCTGGTAGCTCACTTTGAATCAGCACGTTGATGTTCTGCTCGATGCCAGGACCATGGCTTTCGGGCCCACTGCTGTCTTCTTTAGGAATGCCATCGCCCATGGTGAGCCCAGCTTCTGCACTGACTCACTTGGTGCTCCGAACTTTTAATTCACCTAGGTTTTTATTTATTATAAAATGAAGGGCTGATCTAGGTCAAAAGGTGTAACAAAGCTACTGGTGTTTCCACCAGGCACAACGACTCCCTGGGTGCATTTATTTGCAGTGCCTAATGATGTATCATTAGGAATCCATTAAGAGAGGATTTTTTTCCTGCATTTTACTTACAGCAAAAATGTGGTACAAACGATTAGTCCACTCAGCTGCTAACTAAACATTTGGTGTAATTTGAGAGCACTGGGAGGCATCTTTGGAGAAAAGCGGGCCAATCTACTTCCAAAAATTCAGCCATGGGAAACCCTGTGAGCATAATTCCATTCTGACACACAGGGTCACCAGGAATCAGAATCACA